AGTTTCTTTATTTTACATTCCATTAAAATAGGACTCTGGTAGATGACTAATTAAATTTGATATAGACAACAAATTACAGCAAAAATTTCAGATAAATTCTGAATTGTATTTTCTCACTGAATAGTGGAAATAAAATTGCCTACTTTGAAATATTGTTGTGAGGTTTAGAGACAATAGCTATAAATATATTATTTATTATGCTATTCACATCTAAGAAACACATTTTCAGTTTAATCTAGATATCAGCCTAGTACACAGTTTGCCTAATGTTGAGCAAAGCACTGAGTTTGATCCCGAGCACTGAAAACAAAGTTGAACTTGGAGATCAACAGAAATAAAATGTTTTCTGAGAATTTTAAACAGTGAGGGTGACAGACTCTTTTAGTGATCCTCAAATCATATTTCTTTTTTATAAACATCCAAGTTGATCTTGCCTAGAACTCAGATTCAAAAATCAAGCATGAACCTTTCACACATTCTGAGGGTAAGAATATACTGAGCTTTGTGATCTTGGGCACAATTTGTCAGTTTCTTCATATGTAAAACAGGATAATAATAGCCACTGGCTCATGGGATGGTTATGAAGATTAAGAGTTACTGTATGTAAGGTGCTTAGAATAGACCCTAGCAAAATTTAACACTATAAAAATGTTAACATTGATTATTATTTTTTAAACTTCAGGTTGTAATGAATTAGTCATGGGTTGAAATACAAAGAAACAGAATGGAATAAAATAGAATATCAGCACATTGCACATAGTAAGGGTAAGCATTATTGTGGACTGTGATAAATGAACCCAACCTGTGAGTTTCAGTATTTGTTCTTTTTGGTTAATTTGAATCAGTTCTTATTGCTTATTTGAATGCACACCAAGAAGAGTGAGGAAATGAAGACAGAAACTCCACTGATGTTGTTCAAGTGCATTTGGTTCTAACTCCTGATCTGCTGGGCAATGTGCTTTGGCAGGTGATCTAAACTCTGCCTCACCTTCCCTTTTGTTAAAGAAGCAAATTTCTAGGACATATTTTACAGCAATATTTTACAGCTACTTAGAATCCAGCACTACAAATTACACAGTATCTCTCAACTTGCAGGTCACAAATCACAGCTTGGCAACATCATAGGGCTAATTATGATTCCTCTGGATTTTTTGTGTGTTTGTTTTCATACAAAGAGTCAAAGAGAAAAAAAATTTGATTTGCATAAAGCAAACTTTGTCAAACTTCCTAAACACTTACGAAATTCTTAGAACTGGCAATGAAATATGCTTAATGTGACTGTAACACTAATTTTAGATTTTTTGCAATTTTAAAATTGAAAATTTGAATATTTCTAACATGACCTTTCTCGATTTTTTACCCTTTTTGGCTATTCCTTTTTATTTTCTTCTTTATTTTTCAACTTTGTAAAGTCTAAGTTAAAACCTGGAAAAAAAGTGTGATGTGACAGTACTCAGGGAGAGAAGGTCAAGTTTTTAAGCATCTGGTTTTCATTTTTTTTTTGAGGCATAAAAATGGGGATTAGGACCTTGTTGATCCAGTATTGAGTTGGCAGATAAAAGGAAAAAGCAGTCCAGCAGAGAAACCCTAGTCAAAAAAGGGAAGGAACTTCTCACTGGCAAGGACTGTAGCACTAAATAAATACAGGAGAAAGAAGCATCTGGGGAACAGAATAGGAAGGGAAAAAGATTAAAGTGCTGGGTTGTTTCTGAGTACCATCATCATCATCATCTTCAGAACAAAGAGAAATAAGTGAAAAGTTACAGAGAAAAAAAATGAGATGGGAAGGGAAATGGTTGAGGTTCTTTTGTGACCCTGAAGGACCTCCCAGCTGCTAAAAATGGATTTCAAACATATTTTGTTGTTGTTGAAGATGAAGGAAGAAGGAAGAGGAGGCAGAAGGACCACCAGATAACAGCTGGCTTCTTTTCTTTGGAAAAGAGAAGATGTAAACAAAAACACAAGCCAATATTTGCATACCCAACTAGCATTTGACTTTTCTTCCCCCTCCATTAGAAAAATAGTCTATGTTACATTTTTCACTTTTCCCTATTCTTTCTTAGTTGCATATTCCTTGTAATTAATAGGTCATTATCAATAGATTAGTAAATGGAGACAAAAGGAAACATTTGCCCCAAATGATTTACCAGGTCATAGGGCAGAAGTGACGTTCAAATTTGTGGCCTCTGAATTCTTGGCCTGTTATTACCAAACAGCCAAAACTAGTTGAGAAGAAATTCTAGACTATCTCATACCAGTTAATTTGGGTCTTTTGTATACATATTACTTAGTAGAGGATGATGAGACAATGGGGGAACCCTGCTCCCTGATCATCTGGACTTCTCCCATGCACACAGCACACTCTCACAGTGTGCTCTTGTTCAGTTCCTACTGGCAGCCAAGGGGAGCAAAAATCCATCCAATAGCTAGTACTAATCAATACTTAGGTCTACTTTTCAACATTGATGACCATCCGTATGTGGAACTACAAATTCATTACCTCATAGTGCTTTTTTCTAAGGCCTGAATTTTCTGTCTGTTCAGTTCTGTTCTGGAATAAAGAACCATTATCATTTGCTTTCAGTGTTTTAAATTTTATCTTGTACAATAAATTTTACTGATAATTTCTGAAAATCTTAGGTAGGCCTGTAAAACTGTGGCTCAGAAAGTCTTCCCAATCAGATTTATGTAAATGTATTCTGCTCTGTTTCCCTTGCATTCAAACCTGTACCTTTGAGGCCAAGACCTTGGCAATTCAAGGACAAAGTGAACTTTAATTTGGTACATTTTGTACTTTGACAAATAATGGGGGAGAAATGCCCTCAAAGCTTGATTGGTTCCAGCCACATTTGCCTGTCACGATTTTTCAAACCATTATAATCAAATCACAGGCACAAAAGACCCTTCCTTCAAAAACAGATTCCTGCAGAAAGCAAATGAAAAGGACAGGGGAGAAGGATCACGTATTTGATTTCTCTCAAATCTATTTACTGTCCAATTTGTTTTGGTTCTTAGGTCTTTGGATATGCTAGCAGGTAATTACATTAATGGCTGATAAGGTGACTACTAAACATTTGTCATTAATTGCAGTTTCAGAATCACTTAAAAAAATCAGTTATCTTGGTTTCTAAAAATTGTTTCTTCTCGCTAGACACAGGAGACAGGTGCAGAGAGCTGACCAGGTGCCAAGTCTCAGGACTGTCCAGTCTTCCACCTCAGCTCTGCAGCCAGGCCTTCTGAATATTCTAGCGGTTGGAAAATCTATTCCCCTAGACTCGCAGATGCTATTCTCCCCCGACTGGCTCTGCGCAGAACATCATTATCTTTGCCGAGCTTCTGTCTCTATGGCAATAACAGATGGGAAGTGCTGTGGAATTATTCATGTTCAGAAAAGGAGGCAGCCAAGAAGGAAGGGGAGGTGGAGGGAGAGGAGAGGGGGCACGACCTGGGATGGCGGTGACGGGGGCGATGTGGGCATAGGGAAAAGAACTCGGGCGGGGGCGGGCGAGCATGAGGATGTGGCTTCTGGGCCTTTGGTAAACCTGCGGCGGGGAAAGTTGGGGTGGGGCGGACACGACGACACCTACTAGCACAGAAGTACTCCCAGTCAGCCCACTCCAGGTGTGGACCCCAATTCCAGCAACCCCAATGCAGTAAACAAGGAGAATAAGTTGTACGAAAATAAAGGAATAAAAAGGCTTGGGGCGGGGGCCCGTGCAGTGAGGCTCCCTGCACTATTTCAGTTCCTGATCTTGCGGCGGGGTGGAGAAAGGGGGATTTCTTGGTGTTTCGAAATATGACGGAGCAGCTCCGCAAGTTCAATATTCTAACTAGCTACCCTGGGAAAACTGAAAACTGACCAGGCGGATCCCCCTACACGCCCGTGAGGTCGCAGCCGAAAGCTCTTAAATCGTTCTTTCCCCACCTCGTATCATGTCTTTCTCAAAAAAAAAAAAAAAACACCAAAAACACCCCCCCCCCCAAAACCCTTCGTAAACACTTAAAAATGGGTAATTCATAGCTCCGTTTTGGAACCGAGAGGGGAGGGGCGGGGTGGGGTGGGAGGCTGAGAAGCAGGGGCAGAAATGTTTTCTCTGGGTTTTGCCGGAACTTTGGCCACCCCTCCCGCCTGGCTCGATGGCGGATGGAGGTCAGCCCGGGGAAGGCGTCTGGGTGGAGGCCGCCCGGGCCGGGCGAGGCGAGGCGAGGCGAGGCGGGGGCCGGCGGGGCGGGGCGCAGCCGGCAGCTGGCAGGGCGGCCCGCGGGCAGGAGGCCCCCCGGGGGCGAGGGGCAGCCGGTGGGAGGCCCGCGGGGCGGGGACGTCTGCGCGGCGGGCCCGGGGAGGGAGGGGGGGCAGGGCCAGCGCGGGGCCGCTGCAGGACGGCCGCCACCCGGCTATCTCCGGGGCGGGGCGGTCCAGCTGCGGCCCGCGGGGGGAGGGCGCCCGTGCCTGACCTCGGGTGGCGGCGTTCGGCCGCCCGGCCCCGCCTCCGCCCAGCCGGCTGCCGGGGTCGCGCACAGTGCACCGCCCGGCCGCCCTGCCCCCTTCCTCGCAGTCGCGCGGCGGCCCAGAGGCCAGGGCGCCCCCGGGTCTGGCCCGTCACCACAGAGCAGCGGGTGGGGCGGAGGCGGGGCGGTGGCGGCCCCAGACAGCCGGCTGGGCGACTCAAGGAAGGAAGGAGGGAGGGCGGCGGTGGGGGTGGGGCGGGGAGGGAACATCCTGTCTGCGCCGGGTGCACCGCAGACAGCGCCGTGCGCCAGCCGCCCAGACGGCGCGCGGGGCCAGGAGCGCCAGGCGCGCGCCCGGGGGCGGGGGGAGGGGGTGCGCGGGCGCGCGGCGACAGGGCGGTGGGGGGTGGGAGCCCTGAGGAGCCACAATAGGCCAGACGGCACGCGCGTCCCCGAGGGGGCTGGCAACCGCGAGGCAGTGGCGACGCTAGCGACACCGCGCGCGCGCGCGCCGCCGCTGGCTTCGTTCCCATCCCTTCCCCTCCCCCTCCCCCTCCCCCTCCCCGCCGCCCTCGCTCTCCCCCGGGCGGCCGGAGACGGCGGCGGCGTCTGCGGGAAGCCGTGTGTCTCCGCAGTGACGTGGGCGGGCCGAGGGCTCGGTGACGTCAGAGGGCTGTGTGTAGCGATGTGTGTGGGGTTCGGAGCGGCGCCGGCACAGCCGAAGGGAGCGGGCCAGCGGCGACGGCGGCGGCGGGCACAGGTGCGGCCCCGGCTCGCGGGGGGACACGGTGGGAGGCAAGGGGCGCGCGGCCTACGGGGACCCCGACGGTGGCCACCGGGGTGGTGGGGAGTTAACAAAGCTGATCGAGCTTCCCGGGCGCGGAGGCCAGAGTCGGGGTCCGGATGCGCGGGTCCCGGGTGGGGTCGGGGCCAGAGGGGGTTTGGGACGGGAGTCCCACGGCGGCTCTTGCCTCGCTGACCGCGGGCGATGAGTTCTGGCAGGGGAGGACGCTGCACTTGACCGGAGCCGCCGGGACCCTGGAGACCGGGACACCCGTCACCACCACAACCCCGCCCGTCTGCGCTCTGGGGGGATGTCCTGGGCTCAACCCGGCCGGTCAGCGCCCGGCCGCTCGGAATCTGGGCTTGGCGTTTGACCTGCCCGCGGTCCCCTCGGTTCTGGCGCGGGGCGGACAGCGGGAGGTGCAGTCTTGGGGCGCCGAGGTAGCAGAGAAGTTCCCGGGGAGAGGGTGCGCGGGGGATTTCCGCAGGCCTCCCTGGCGGCCCCCGCAGTGGGGCGATGTGGGAGGGCACTTGGGGTTATCCCAAACTCGCGGGTGGGGGCTGGGGGACTCCTCCCTCTACTTCCCTCTCCCGGCTTCACTAACCGCCCCCCCCATCCCGAGTCCCCGGGTTACTTGGACTGCCCCCTTCGGGTTGAAGATGAGTAGGTGGTTTTGCGTGGTGGGAGGGCTTCGGGGCTAAATTTAGGGGCTCCCAAGGCAAGCCTCCTTAGCCTGCGTTGGCTGAGGTGTCCTTGTGGTGGCGAAAGTCGGTACGATGGCCAGGGAGCTTTTCGTCCTTAATCCTTTGGGTTTGTTTTAGGGTATATTGCTGGGGGGTTGAAAAGCAAAAGTATTTTAGTTGTTGGATTTTTTAGGGGGGTGGGTCTCAAGCAGGGAATGGAAGAAAATTTTTTTCTTTCCCCTCTTCCTCCATTTGCATTCTTTGTGAGGGCTGTCTGCCTTGTGCGTTTTGTCCCGGATTAGTCTTGTTCAGGGATGGAGATTCCCTGGCATGCAGGTTTAGAGCTTTGGGTTTCCATTAAGCAAATTTGCTAACCTTTAAAAGGGAAAGTTAATTTTTGCCTATACTCCAGAAAGATGGTATACCCTGACTGGATGAGTTAATGCACTTGAGATTGTAACTTAGTTACATATGGTTCATACGTTAAGTTGTATATTTTTTGGAGGAGAGGGTGAAGCTAGTGGTTTTTTTTTTTTTTTAATTAGGACATAAAGCCACGGATTGTTTTCAAATTAAAATGGCATACGTGAAAAAGCCTATGATAGTGAGTTTTGTGTGAAATGATATTCATGTTCTGAATTTGAGTAGCCTTCCTCCTTTTGAGGGATACTATTGCTTCACTGCCTTTCTAAATTGCTTTCCTATTTAAATGAAGGGTCTTCTAGTTAACTGGTGTTAGATTTAAAGAAATTACTCAGGTGTCACCTTTGGTAAAGTGAACTCAGGTTAAGATTAAGAAACTGGTTTGAAACTGACCCTTTGGCCTCTGGAGCAAATTCAAATGTAACTTTTCCCCCGTCTCCCTTCTCTTCCAGATTAATTAAAAGAAGAGTGAACTGTAATCCCTGAAGATAACTGGGCAATTTTTCATTAAGTATTTTATTATTATTATAGAAGTGCAAGTGGAGTCAGAGGTTCTTACTGGTGTGGAGATTTATACAACTGTTCAGTTTGTCGGCACAGACCAACAGACCATTTTTAATGGAGATACTTCCCCTCTCCTTTTTTGGTGTTCTTGGTGGCAAAGACTAAATTTGATTACATCAGTTTGACTTGTCTGGGTTTTATGATACAGTAATGGCGTAAACTTCCCCACATGCTTTGCTTTAAAACAACCAACCATTGCATTGAATCTGGACGGGAACTTAGAATTCAAGAAAACAAGTGTCCTCAGAAACGTGCTAATGATTATATTTTGTATTAGAAGCAAAATGAGGGATTTTATAGCATTTGCAGTGAAATTATGCTAGAGTGTAAGCAGAACCAAACAAAGTTGCAAAATCTGTTGAGCAACTTAAGAGAATTTCTCTTTGGAAGGTAAAATTTTCTATAAGTTATAAATATTCATATACCCTTCTCTCTTCACATAAGCAACTTAAAAATGCAAATTTCAGACATAATTATTTAATACAATAGTGTAGCAATGGAAAACCTACAGATGAATTTCTCCATGGTTCCGGGCTCAAATAAAAAACTGAATGAGATGGGAGATGATGGCAGCCCTCCAGTGAAAAAAATGATGACAGACATTCATGCAAATGGAAAAGTGGTAAACAAGGTGCCAACTGTAAAGAAGGAACACTTGGATGACTATGGAGAAGTACCAATGGAAACTGATGGAGATCATGCCAAGCGAAACTGCACTACCGTGCCTGAACCTTTAAACTTAAATCCCAGTTTGAAACACACATTGGCACAATTCCATTTAAGTAGTCAGAGCTCTTTGGGTGGACCAGCAGCATTTTCCGCTCGGTATTCCCAGGAAAGCATGTCACCTACTGTATTTCTGCCTCTTCCATCTCCTCAGGTTCTTCCTGGTCCACTGCTCATCCCTTCTGATAGCTCCACAGAGCTAACCCAGACTGTTTTGGAAGGGGAGTCTATTTCTTGTTTTCAAGTTGGAGGAGAAAAGAGACTCTGTTTGCCCCAAGTCTTAAATTCTGTTCTCCGAGAATTTTCACTTCAGCAGATAAATACAGTGTGTGATGAGTTATACATATATTGTTCAAGGTGTACTTCAGATCAGCTTCATATCTTAAAGGTCCTGGGAATACTTCCCTTCAATGCCCCATCCTGTGGGCTGATCACATTAACTGATGCACAAAGACTATGTAATGCTTTATTGAGGCCACGAACTTTTCCTCAAAATGGTAGCGTACTTCCTGCTAAAAACTCATTGGCCCAGTTAAAGGAAACTGGCAGTGCCTTTGAAGTGGAGCATGAATGCTTGGGCAAATGTCAGGGTCTTTTTGCACCTCAGTTTTATGTTCAGCCTGATGCTCCATGTATTCAGTGTCTAGAGTGCTGTGGAATGTTTGCACCCCAGACTTTCGTGATGCATTCGCACAGATCACCTGACAAAAGGACTTGCCACTGGGGCTTTGAATCAGCCAAATGGCATTGTTACCTTCATGTGAACCAAAAATACTTAGGGACACCTGAGGAGAAGAAACTGAAGATAATTTTAGAAGAAATGAAGGAGAAGTTTAGTATGAGGAATGGAAAGAGAACTCAATCCAAGGCAAGTAGTTTAAGTAGCAATTTTGAATAGTAATGATTTACTTTGACATAAGAATTCTTCAGAATATAACTTGTATTAAAAAAACTCAATGCAGCGGCAAAAAACATTGATCAGTATTGGGTTCATATTGCAATTTTTAGGCTATAAAGTATTTTCCTGTACATTTCTCATTCGAACTTCCAAACAACAACCCTGTGAGATAGGATTATTCCCATTTTACAGATAGAAAATTAGGCTCAGATCAAGTGACTTTTCCAAAATTACATAGACAGGGAGTGAAGGAATTGGGGCTTCTTGATGAATATTGTTTTCTTAGTACTCAAGGTAATTTACATTTGGCTTTATTTCCACTGGCAAATGATGGCTAACCAAAACAATTCTGGTAATGGGCTCAAACAGCATTTTTCAAAGGTATATCTATGATTTCTGATGTTTCTGTGCTTGGCTATTCGGGGTTGGTCAATATTGAACACATGGAAGACATTTATCTGAAGAATTTGTAATTCTAGTAATCAAGATTTTTTTTTAAAAAGTAATTAAAAAAATTATGACATAGCTAGAAAAAAGTTTATATTAATGAAATACTAGTATAACAAGCTATCAGCAAAAAGATCTTAATATTCTTCCCACCATATTTTCTGGTAGGCTAGGCTGAAATTGTCATTCTAATTTTGAATTCCTGGGTAATACACAAGATTTGAGTTAAACATTCTGTTTGATCTGGTTATTTTATGTATTTTTCCACTTGACTTAAAATTGATATATAATGTATTTAACACTAAGTGTTTAAAGTGTATCAAGAATTGCTCTTGAGCTGTTTTACATATATAATTTTATTTAATTCTTACAAGAAAAGATTGTTATGTTTTAAGATCCTTAAATTTTTCTGCCGTTAGTTTTGATTCTTTGAAATGACACTGTCCTTTCTGTTTACAGAAGAAGTGAATTAAGTATATTAAGTGGCTGATGGAAGGTTGTTCACCGCACAGTTAGGGTTTGGTCTAGAGTTTAAGATTACATGTTCTGTGCTTTATCATTGTATTCTTTAAGGTTTGGAGAAATTTAGTGTAAAGGCAGTGGTTTGCTTCTGAAGTTCAATAAAGTTAGGGTAGTTTGCTACTTGCTACTTTCCAAAAGGTCAACACTTGAAATTCCTTGCCAGTGGCTACTAGATAAGTTTATATTCTTCAGGTGCAGTTGTTAACTGGTTTTAAAGCAGGATTGACTTTTAAGCTTGTACTCCACAGTGGGAAACTTGATTATAGCTGTACTCGGGCAGCTGAAGTTTGTGCTCAGAGATGAGGACCTGCCTTCTCAGAATGTGGAATGCTCTCCCTACCCTGTTTTTTTTTTTTGTTTTTTTTTTGGTGGGCCTGACGTTTGAACTCAGGGCTTCATACTTGCAAAGCTGGCTCTCTACCATTTGAGCCACACCTCCAGTCCATTTAGCTGTAGTTATTTTGGGAACTGTTTGCCTGGGCTGGCCTCCAACATTTATCCTCTATCCTCTCCTTCTCAGCCTCCCAAGTAGTTAGGATTACAGGTGTGAGCCCCTTTTAATACCTGGGATCTTGCCCCCAAGCTAATTAGGGACTCAACGCTTGTATGTCCATAAGTGGCTACATTATTTGCGAGATAGTCTCAAATCTTCATTAATCCAAACATTTTTGGGATAAACTACCCTTCCTATGTTACTGCTCTCTGTTTGGGTGTAAGAACTATGGCAGTGGATTAAAAAAAAAAAAGTGGATGAATTTACTAAACTGAAATTGATTATGCTAAGATTTGGTTAAAATTGAAACCATCTTTCACCTGGAATGTACTCCCCTGAATTTGTTAATATGAGCTCATTTTTGATTTGGGGAAAGTGTGAGCCCCCCCCATTTCTTTGCTGCTGTTGTTGTTATTATTTGGCAGATTTGCTGTAGTTCTTGTGATGCATTTTGATTTTGCTTCCAATTTTATGTGAATTGAAGGAAGTTGGGAAATTTAAGAAAACGTTCAACAGTCAAATCTGTATTTTATTTTATTTTTTTGTGGTACTGGGGTTTGAACTCAGTGCCCTCTCCTTGAGCCACTCTGCCAGTCCTTTTTGTGTTAGATATTTTTGAGATAGGGTATTGAGAACTATTTGCCTGGGCAGGCTTTGAACTGCCATCCTCCTTATTTCTCCCTTCTGAGTAGGTAGGCATGAGCCACCAGTGCCTGGCTCAACAATCATCAAATCTTTAAGAAAAGTTTTTTTTTTTTTTGGGGGGGGGAGTTTGTATTATATATATATATGTATATATATTTATATTTGTACATATAAAATATATATGTAAGTTTTTGTTTTTAAATTATGCTTGTTACTGCACATTTTAAAAATTCATTCCTCAAAACATCGTAAGGTAGTTTTTCAAGGTCTGTAAGGAAAATAAGTTAGAATATTTCCTCCTCTTAGATTTTCTTAGTTGTATAACTGATAACTGGTAGACTGTTGAATGCTCATCTTCTGACTTGAAGGCCAGTAATTTTCCTGAGGCAAATGTAGTAGCAAAAACTGTTCTTAGTATAATGGTTCTTAAATTCTGTATTAACCTGCATGTAGAGTCTGAAGTATTCAATTGGGGATGGTAGTGGGGGTAGTCCTTGATTGGGGAACATTTTTCATCACCTTCTGTGAGTTGGTTGTTAGACAAACCAAATTGACCAAAGGAAGCTGATTTAAAGAAAATAATAAAGCCAGGCTTTTTTTGTTTAATAAAGAGTGCTAAAATATTAACCCGTTATATCAAGGACCTTATGTTTAGTGTGAATACTAACATAATTTAGTGTACTTATTGTTTGTATAGTCAAATTATTGTTTTTGGATTAGAAAAAAGAAACTAAGCTAAGGATGGTATATACCCTTACATGTATATTAAAATTCAAATTTCTAACATTCAGACCATTTTATTCTTAGGTAAGTATACTTTATACTTATGGAAGAAATCTTTATAGGTTATCTGTGATGCAAATAGATGTGTTAAAGATAATCAACTTAAAAAGTTTTCCCTTGGTTGGGGGTGAGGCTCAATGGCAGAGCCCATGCTTAGCATGAATGAGACCCTGGATTAATTCTTTTTTTTTTTTTTGTAATCCCTGGAATGCATATTAACCATTTCACTACCTTTAGTTTTGCATCTTTATTTCATTTCTTCATTTCTGCAGAGGTTATTGGAATAGTAATAGTGCAAAAATTTATCCCCTCTTATAAGCCTACTGTACCTTTGTTTAGGAAGCCCTTTTTTTGGTATAAACTTAAATGAAGCAAATCCACTAGAGAGAAGGACAACTATAAAGAGTAGTGACAAAATATGTTCGTAGTGGTAATTGTGGTGGATTTCATGATAACTTGTTATCTTCTCCAAGGTAACTTGTACTTTGTGATTAGCACAAGTTGTAATCATTTGGGAATAAGTTCACAGTCAAATGAAGTATTTGTGCTCATTGGAGACACTGCATTTGGGACCACTGTGAATGTTATCTTCCTAGAATTAATAATTATCTCCACAAGTTTAGAGACAAAAACTATTTCTTTCTCTAGAACCTAGTTTAGAGCCTGACATGTCAAAGGCAAACAGTTAAATCTTTGAATGAGAGAATGAATGTGAAAACATTTTGGAAGTTAAAAAGTCTTTACTGTAGAAATACAGGATGATATTTCAGATGATTCCAAAATATTAATGTATATTTGAACATTCCTCCTTCCCCCAAGCATCTCTTGACTTCTGTGAAGAGATTCTTAAGACAAATAAGGTAACTGAATATTGGGTCCAAATAGATCTCATGCTTAGTTGTTTGTAGACAGTATACCAGTTGGATATTTGTTTACCTATCAAAATAAAGCACACAAAAAAGAAAGTGGGAAACAAGTTTGTTATAGGAAATAGAAACATTTCTTAATCATTTTACCATCTGAGATTTGCAACCTAAAAGATACATTGGTTACCTTGGAGATAGTGCCTCTTCTCTTTTCTTGGTTGAGATCACTTTGAAGTTTGGAATGATGGAGACCAACACAGGCCTATTTGGACTGCATAAAAGTTTGTTTAGAATTTCTTTCTCCTTTTTCACTGGGCCTTTATAATGAGTTTAGAATAATTAAGATTTTGGAATTCATCCTCTTAATAACAGGATTTGTAGATCCTTCATTTCCTTGGCATTAAAGAAAAAAATATTGGTTTTGTTATTTAATTGTTTTGGTGGCAGTGGGGTTTGAACTCAGTGTCTCACACTTGCTAGGCAGGTGCTATACCACTTGGCCACTCCGCCAGCCCCTTCCCTGGTGTTTTATAAGGAAATCTTTAGAATGACTTTAACAAATTCAGAATCTGTATTCATTTTTACCATTAAAAATGAAATCATTAGCATTTGAGAAAACTTATTTTAAAAAACTTAGAAATTTATCTCTTTAGTTTGAGTTTCTTTTCAAACTATAATTTTTCATTCATCCAGCCTTCCTCATCTGAGGTTTCATGAAAGAAGTAAGCATACAGAAAATGATATCAGAGATGGTTTTGTCAGTTCTCCCAAGAATAGTACAGAGTACATTCAAAATGTATTGAAGAGAAGTTAATTCATTACATACAATGAATGCCTTGGGCATTTTTTAATTATCTTGAGAATCCAGTTGAGAAAGTCAGAAGGGTCATGAAATCAGTTTAGTGGGTCACCAGTTCTTAAAACAAATGAAATGGAATAAAATAGGAAATAGAATAAAATAAAATAGAAAACAGAATACATTGCATATAGTAAGATTAATTAATCTCCATTTGATATTGACAGTTTGTTATTTGAAGGCCAAGATCTGTTTTTAAAAGTCTATGTTCTAAAATGAGATAGAAAAATAAAGCCTTAGATTTATGTTGACAAATACTTCAGTGAAAATATGTTCATGATATTGAAATTCCTACACAGCTGGCTAGAGATGTAGCTCAGTAGTAGAATGCTTGCCCTAGTATGCTTAAAGCTCTAGGTTTGATCCCCAGCATTGGAGAAAAAAAAAAAAAAAAAAAAAGCAGCAACATACCACGTAGTTGAAATATTAAATTGATTGAACAATAAAATTTTTATTTTGAAAAGTCCAAGGAATTAATAGGATTTTTAATAGTTCCTTATCCTTCAAGTTAGGAAGTGATATATTTTCTACTTTGCATGAAAGATTTAAGATTAACAGTTGCATAGTCACTATAAGAACTTGAGCCTTTGCTTTTCCTCTGAGCATTTGTCAGCCCTTCAAACCTAAAATTGGCTTAGTGAGGTAGTTGGTGAGTATGATCTTTGAGTCTGTCGTAGCATCAGGCATTGCTGTGACTCCTAAAAAGCTATCTTTGATGAGTTAGTGCATATGCTTAGATCATATTGTCTCAGTTTTGCATTAGGTTAATTATTTCTGATGATTACAATGAAGTGAGGAGAGGCAAAGCCTTAAAAACTCCTAAGTAGCTATTTGCTACCTTGTAACTCTATTTTATTTCAGTTGTAACACTCCTTCACAACATATTGGAAGTATTGAGGAAACTTGATACTATACTGAGGGATTTAGTTTCTTTCAGTAGAGTTGTTGGCAGCTGTTTGGTAGGGTATGTTTTCTGTACTTCTGAAAACATTTGACCATTTCAGTGTCTGTAGATGGTAAGGAGACCCTGATAGGGATATTCACTTTATACCTAAGAAGTTATTTTCTAGTTATGTATCCAGTAGTGTATTTGGTTGCTAATGATTTTTGTTGGGCTAACACAGAGTAATATATATGCATTTAATATGCATTAAGTTTTACTTTTTGTAATCATGCCGTTGGAAGAAACACTGTTAAATACCAACCTACCTGCTATCTTTTGAACACAAAAATTTAAAGATAAATTCTTATAATTTGTAGCATTTTAAAAATCCTATTTAAAAATAATTTTTAAATGCTTTAAAAATGACTCACTTCTGATTTTTGTTAGGATTTTGGAAATCCCACCAGTGGTTTATGGTATCGTCTCAATTTCATTAGTTCATCAGTGTTCGTCTTTAGGACTTAAGAATCATAATATTAATCTGATGCTGTAATTAAAAACTGTGGTGCCACCTGAAAGCAAAGTTTGTTATTGAACAATAGACTGAGACTTAAAAGGGTTTTTTGTTTTTTAGTACAAATTGGAATATTTGTATATAAATAGTGATTAATGGGTTATTTACTTTTGTGTTTAAAAAGTGGTAATAAAATTACTTTTTAAAATGAAATGAAGCTCTCTAAATTATTTGTCATTATGAGGCTAATAACCATGTATCACTAATACATAATAGTTCTTTATTAGGAAGTCTGATTATCAAAGTGTATTATATATAAAGTAACCATAGTTAAGATGCGGAAGTTTGGAGGAACTTTTGTAAAACATTTACTAATTTTTACTTATTAAGAATTAACTTGCTGTATGTTTTGTTATTGTTTAAAATTTGCTTTCATAGGTATTATTTGGTGTTTTATTTGGTATTTAAGAAAAGAACCTTTGGAATGAAATAATATGTCTGAAATTTTGCTTATGTGTGTGAAATGAAGATGCCATCTGTTCATTTTGTGGTAGATAATGATGAGAAAGATGGATGATAAAAGCATTTAAAAATGTTAAGACTCTAACTGAAGCTACTAAATGAAGCCCTTTCCTTATTTTAATGTTCAAATACACTAAGAAATAATTTTTTTCATGTTGAAAAGTAAGACAAAAGCCAGTAGGTGCTCATATCGTGAGATCTGGTTTATATTTATGATCAGTAGCCCTAGTGCTGTGGCATTTAATTATATTCTTTTTCTGAAAACCTAATTTGTATGTTGACACAAATGTAAAATAGATGAGAAAATCTGGCCTGACTGTGAATGTTTTGTTGTATAATATGTGCTTTTGTTAATTGTTTTAAACACACAGTTAGGATAATTTGCTATAAATGTGTTTATGGCTTTTCACAGCATATTAGGTAAAATTAACTTGCAGTACTTTATCACTGTTAGTGTTATGCATTTCCCTGTCATTTGTATTATTTAATTTGTATGTCTGGTAAAATACAGTCTAGAGACTAGGTGCTTCATGAAAGAGACAGATTGAAAGATAAATGTGAAAGAGACTATCTTGTGAGTTTCATGGTTGCCTTGTAGCCTGTAGTGCTGGGCCCTGGCGATCTCATCCAAGGTCTCACACATGCTGTTCTTATGCTCCACCACAGAGCTATACCCTCCAGTAACCTTTATAAGAGGCTGGGAATTAGTGAGCTACAATGGCAGTCAGAAGTCTCTCAACAAATACTGAGTCCCTACTGTGTGATAGCATGGGGCTAGGTAAATACAAAGAAAGGATGTTTTTTATTTCAATTTGCCATTCCATGGCAGGCTGGATCGCCACTTGTCAGTGTTGAAGAGGGACCACTCAATTTTCAAAGGTTAATTTCCTTAGAACCACTGGTTTATGATTCTGTTAGTGGATTGGTATGAAATAGGAAACAAAAATGAGAATTAAGAGAAATAAATGTTTTAGGTGAATATGCTAGTAGTTATTTAACATGGCATCAGAAGTTTAGAGATACAGAAATGAAGACATAAATCTTACTCATACAAATCAAATTGTAGAGATTTTTATTTTTATTTATTGGTGGGACTAGGATTTAAACTCAGGGCTTCAAACTTGCAAAGCAGAAGCTCTACCACTTGAGCCATACCTCTTGTCCATTTTATTTTGGTTATTTTGGAGATGGGGTCTTGGGAACTATTTGTCAGGCTGGCCTCAAACCTCAGTCCTCCTGATCTCAGTTTCCCAAGTAGCTAATATAACAGGTGTGAGCCATTGGCACCCAACTAAGCACCAAATTAAAAAAAAAAAAAACATTTTTAATGAATTTTCATAATTTAAATAAATTTGAATCTTAAGTGATGTGCAGAACATAATCAGTTTATTGATTCAGGACTTGAGCACTAGTTACTATACTTTCTTGAATTAGGGATAGGGGACAATTGAGGAATATTAAATAGTATTTGCCCTGGCCTATGCTGAAGCCCTCAAGATTGTCTTGGTTTTGAAGCAGTTTTTGTGTTTACATTTTGTAATTCTCCTTTTTCCTTAGAATGTTAGTTGTCATTGAGCACTTATCATTTAGTACTTGTTGCCAGAAGTCAGTTGCCTTTCTAATTTACTGTTAGTAATAAAGTGTAAGGTGAGAAACTATGTAAACAGTGATTGGTTTATTTTATAAATAAGCAGTTGAATTTGCCCACATTCTGGATATTAGATCATAATTTGAACCTTTAGAATATTTGATCAGCATTTTGAGGTTTCTTTAAAAAAATATTCTATTTATATATACTTAGGAGCCCTCACTGAAAACTCTTAAATCCTTTTGAAGTATTATTTTCCCTGTAATTTTGTGATCTTACTAGTCTTTGAAATTCCTTGCCAAGTTTTCTTAGCAAAAAATGTATACTCCCACCAACACAAGTTATCATATTATATTTTTTTACTTTATTGGCTTTAAGTCATCTCCTGTTGCAATGTTTGTTAAAGAAATTACTTCTTTTCTGTTTTTAGCCTTTTTTTGTTGAGGGCATTGGGCTACTTGGCAGTTTCCTCCTTTAGCAGGATGCGCCTAATAGAACCATGGATAGTTCAGAATTGATTTTACTTCAGTCATAACTGCTTGATACCCTTTCCTTTCTAGTCCTTTTCTGACTCTGGTTTCTGAACTACAATGTTGGGACATTACTTAACACAACTTTCTTAGAGAGGTATTTCTTCTTTCTCTTTCTCTCTCTCTCTCTTTTTTTTTTTTTTTGGTCTTGCTAGGGACTGAAGAACCTAGGGCCTTATACATGCTAGGCAAATGCTGTATCACTGAGCTACATCCCTTACCCCTGTATTTTCATTATTGAATGAGGTTATGATTCCTACATACCCCCTTTCTAATTGCAGAAAGGATTGGAGCCTCACAGAGTCAAGGTTCAGAAAAATATCCAGCTTTCCATTTTGACTTAACTGTCTTTGAACTCATTCCTAGTCCTGTTCTCCCTCACTCTGCTGGATTTGTCTGTTAACCTCCTTTCTCTGTTGTTTACCTTAACCATGGCATCTTTCACCTGCTACTTCTCTCTTCTACCAGTGAATATTGCTCCTTTGAAAAGGCATTCTTCTCCCATAAGAACAGGGAAATGACTGTAATGTGAAATATGTGAGGAAAGGATAGTAGGGGAGGACAAAGTATGAAACAAGTCAAAATAAGGGAGAAGTAGTAACCATAGGCCATTTATGCTCTTTCTTTCCCTTTGTTTTTAGGTACAGCTCATCCTTCAGTGCTAAAAAAAAAAAAGAAGAAAGCTTTCTGTATGGTTCATTGATACTTAGATACTTGTTAACAAGAAGTACTTACTTACTGCCTTAGAATGTTACCTAGCTAATATTCTAACAAGTACTGTGGAGGTGGGATATAGGCTATCTAAATATAGTAGCAAGGATGATAATCAGAAGTTCGTTATGCTGTACATTTTCCAAGCACCATTATTTAAATTCCATAAGTATGAAATTAATAAGATCATTTTGAGTGATCCATGTTGACATGTATACTGAAACTTCTTATGTGGGAGAGTTCATGTAGCAGTCTGAGTTTGAAGTGATTAGGAGGAGTACTTTAAGGAAAGACTACTGAAAGATGTCTCTTTAAAAAAAAAAGTAGCTCTTTTTTACCCAGTGTTCCTGTCCAGTGGACACAAAATTAACCATCAGAGGCTGAGTGTAGCTTAGTGGTAGAACACTTGTTCAGCTTGAGCAAGGGCCTAGGTTTGAATCTTAGAACCTTTTAGAAAAAAACAACAAAACCCATCACATTTTACAAAAAAAGTTTCCACATTTTTCTACAGGCAGATGCAGCATCAGGAATGGAATTACAGTCGTGGTATCCTGTTATAAAACAGGAAGGTGACCATGTTTCTCAGACACATTCATTTTTACACCCCAGGTGAGTGGGTATTCTGTTGCTTGTTCCTTCGTTTGTTTGTTCATTCATCTAACAGCTATCTTTTAGGTACAGTTCTAGAAGCCAGAAATTGGCTTTCTTGCTAGTTACATCTTTAAAATTAAAAAAAAAAAAAAAAAGTTTTTTTTTTTTAAAGACAAGTATATTGGAATTTGTTTCTTTTATCTTTGTCATTATAGGGAAATTGCAGGAGAATTATTATATCTACTCATTAAAACATAAAACATGAAATGAATTGTAAATTGTATTAATGTTGGAGATAAACTTGGTGTTTCTTTTTTAGAAATAGGTCATTTCCTTTCTGCCCTGAAGTAAAAAATGAGAGTTCTATTTTTCATTTCCTTCCTTATCTTCAAGAGGTAAATCAACTCTTCAAGAGTTTGGTGTGCACCTTTGATATTTTAAAAAGAAATTCTTTTAAAATTCTTTTAAAAATTCTTTTTTTTTTTGCTGTACTGGGGTTTGAACTCAGGGCCTACACCTTGAGCCACTCCACCAGTCCTTTTTTTGTGAAGTGTTTTTTTGAGATAGGGTCTCACAAAACTATTTGCCCAGGCTGACTGCAAACTGAGATCCTCCTGGTGTCTGCCTCCTGAGTAGCTAGGATTACAGGCGTGAGCCAGTGGCACCGCACAAAATTTAGGACTTTTTATAACAACCACACCCCTCCCAATCAGGTTTTCTTATTTTCCATAAAAGTACACCATGGGTTATAAGCTTTTTGTTTATTGAGTCCTAGATTTTCATTTGCTGCTGTAAATCTGTAATCCTCCCAAGCATGGTGAAGAGTGTCAGTATTATTAGTTACACTTGTACAAAATCACTATCATACCTATTTCATTCCAAATAAGTCCTTTTGACACTATTGAACCTGTGTTTTCTCTAAAAAGCAGAATACTAAGTTTTCATATACAGAGTTCATGTGATTGATAAAGGGGAACAAATAGATGTCCTATCCACAGGAAACAAGATAAGTGAAGATTACCTAAAGTTTAGGGAATTAAGTATTAAATGGTTACATATTTCACTAAAGTTTACTTAGGTTATAGTTAGAAGTGTTACTTAAATATCTAGCTCAAATTTGTTCCATAAATCTTACAGATAATCTGAGCACTTTTATGTGAACTTTGAGCAAAATTGTAGTTACCCTTTCAGTCTTCATTTCACATAATTTACTATTGCTATTTTGTTAAATAGGTAGAAAGTACTATGCTATTTTAAGATTTCTCTTTTGGGTTTGATACATGGGGAGCTGCATAGTGGCTGGGCAGCATTTGGAGTCTGTTCTCTCTTTGAGACCTACATGAGAAAGGTCCTGGCAGCTCCTCATTGGGCTGATGTGGGTCAGGCCCTCGCCTAATTAAACAGTCTCACAGAGAAAGGGTCCCCCTAAGAAAACAGTCCTCAAAAGTAGTAGATAGTCTGTTTTCTTTCTGGAGTTAACCTTACCTACTACTCAGAGATGCTAACTTCTCTATGAAGTGCTTATGCTTTTAGTTCTCAGGTGGTTTTAAGGAAAGGAAAAGAGACTCAATTTCCTTCCCAGTGAGTTTTTAGTGCCTAGAAATTATTTGCAAAAATAATAATCCTTCATAATCTTTGATCTTTTAAAGTGCCAATAGTTTCCTTTTCTGTGACTTACTTTCTGAGTTGTTACATTGTCTGTTTTGGTAAAAATAAATAAAATTGAGTTTAACTCTAGAAAGATGTCACATATTTTGATTTTTACCTAAACATAATATGTAATATGTGTCTTATTTTTCCTTTCTTGTTTTCAGCTACTACCTATACATGTGTGATAAAGTGGTTGCCCCAAATGTGTCACTTACTTCTGCTGTATCCCAGTCTAAAGAGGGCACAAAGACAGAGGCAAGTAAGTCCCTATCAAAAAAGTCAGAAAAGCCTCATGGTAGTAGTAAACATCAAAAAACAGTGTCTTATCCAGATGTCTCACTTGAGGAACAGGAGAAAATGGATTTAAAAACGAGTAGAGAATTATATAGCCATTTAGGTAAGTATCCAGAAGTTATATTTTAAAAATCAGATGTCTAATAAACACATTCAGTATTTTAAATTCAAGTTAATCTTTCTAATTTAAGCTTTTACTTTAAAAAAATGCTAACTTTCAGAACTCTGGATGATTTTTTTTTGAACCTCAGTTGCTGCACTTTTCTGAAGTGGTGATAGCCTATGGAGGCCAATGAGATAGATGTAGGTAGGCTACATGACTTCATGTTGCAAGTGATATTTATTGAATATTTTTTCTTCTGCCTTTTCTTGCTGTCACAATTCTTCAATACGTTCTTATTTTTTCTAATTTTCTATGGGCTGAGAAACTGTTTTATATTAAGAAGTATATATAAGGAAGAATAGTTAGGTTTAGAACTCAGAGAAACTTATTCACAGAATAAAGCAAGGGTTGAATGCTTCTCTGGCAGACAACATACCTTTAGAATGCTACCTGTGTAACTTGCCATGCACCAGCACAGCTCATCAGTTTGAGACACTAACTGACTTGGAGCAGTTGGATAGTGTTCTAGTTATTTAACTATTTTCATAAAGAGGATCTTCCATACTTTGAGATTTTTTTTTTACTGGGGCTTGAACTCAGGGCCTACTCAAGAGCCACCCCACCAGCCTTTTTTTGTGAAGGATTTTTTTCGAGATTAGAGTCTTGCAGAACTATTTGCCTGGGCTGACTTCGAACTGCGATCCATCTGGTCTCTGCCTCCTGAGTAGCTAGGATTATAGGTGTGAGCCACCTGTGCCTGGCTATACTTTGAGATTTTTAAAGCTCATCTTATTTTGGATTGACACATGATAACCAGTAATTCATAATGAATCATTATGTCATATTTGCATTGTGTTTTGTTTCCCAAATTAATTCTAGTAATTAAAAAAAAATAATTGACGTAATTATTGAGCTATAATTTACATGCCATAAAAGTTAAAAGTGTACAATTCATTAGTTTTTTAGTATAATCACAACCACCGCAGCTATTTAATTCCAAAATACTTTCATCACTCCCAGAAAGCCATATACTCCTTCAACAGTTCCTTCTGTACTCTTTTTTCTATAGTCACTAGTCTATTTTCTGTGTTTATGGATTTACCTATTCTGGTCATTTCCTATAAAAAGAATCATACAAACTGGGTGCTGGTGGCTCATGTCTGTAATCCTAGCTAGTCAGGAGGCAGAGATCAGGAGGATCACTGTTCGAAGCCAGCCTCAGGCAAATAGTTTGTGAGACCCTATCCCAAAGAAACCCATAACAAAAAAAAAGTGCTGTGGAGTGGCCTTTGCCTATTTTTAAATTGGGTGTTCTGCTTACCATTGAGTTATAAAAGTTCTTTATATTCTGGATCCTTATGTAAGTTTTGCCATTCTGTTAGTTATCTTTTCACTTTGCTAGTGAACCTTGAAGCATATAAGTTTTCAATTTTTGTGAAGTCAGGATTTCTATAGCTTTGTAGTAAGCTTTGAAATTGGGAATTGTGAGTCCTCTGACTTTGTTACTCTTTTTCAAGATTGATTTGGTTATTTTGGATTTCTTACATTTCTGTATGAATCTTCTAGTTAGCTCATCATTTTCTTTAAAAATCTGAGCTGAAATTTTAATAGGGATTGCTTTCAATAAGTTGATCAATTTGGGAAGTATTGCTATCTTCACTATTAAGTCCTCAGCCCACGTGTATATGGATGTCTTTTCATGTTTGCAAGTTCTTTCAGTGATGTTCAGAAACTATCATTGTACATATCTGGCACTAATTTTGTTAATTTTTTTTCCTAAGTATTTTATTCTTTTTAATTTGATTAGGAATTTTTTTCTTAATTTCATTTATATATTATTACCATGTTATTCATACTTTGTTACTTGATTTTTTTTTCTCTCAAAGATCCATCAATCTCAAATAATTCTACAAACAAAAAGAAACCCGAGCCCACTATTTGCAACTTAGTAAGAGATACAAGCAAGCATGATGCTGCAGCTTCATCTCCTCTTGTCAAAGATGTTACTTGTGAAGATGATAAGGGAAAAATCATGGAAGAAGTAATGAGAACTTATGTAAAACAACAGGAAAAGCTGAACTTGATTTTGCAAAAGAAGCAACAACTTCAGATGGTAAAATTATTATCTAAAGAATAAGCCATTATTAAAAGATAATTTTGCATATTCTTAGGATGTGAACATGAGATTCTGCAAATGTACTTAAGATTATTTAGTTTTATACAAAGAAGCAATTTTAGCACACCTTGAAATTTTTAGAGAAAATAGTTTTGAATGATTGCTTCTACGTAGAAGTAGTATGGTAGATGAGTTTTAAGTATTTTCTGACATTTTTTCTTGAACTGAAAGTTTAACACGATGGAAATAAAGTACAAATTATATTATGATTCTTTACATTATAGGAAGTGGAAATGTTGAGTAGTTCAAAAGCCATGAAGGAACTCACTGAAGAACAGCAAAATTTGCAGAAAGAGCTTGAATCTTTGCAGAATGAACATGCTCAAAGAATGGAAGAATTTTATGTTGAGCAGAAAGACTTAGAGAAAAAGTTGGAGCAGGTTATGAAGCAAAAATGTACCTGTGACTCAAATTTAGAAAAAGACAAAGAGGCTGAATATGCAGCACAGGTAAGAATTATTCAGTTTGCATAGTGATGCCCGTTCAACATGGAAGTGGAAACTTACTTTTCAATTTAAGGAGTTATTTTTTGCCAACCTAGGCTAGATTTCAAAGTAGATAATTCTGGTAAACATGGCTTTATTCAACATTGTCCAAGACAAGTTTTTGACCTTGATTATTTTAAACTTTTATTGGGGTTATATAATTTAATTCCCTGAATTGCTAATCTCTAGTTTTCTGAATGTAAAATCATAGTTCGTTTTGGACTGAGGTTGCAGAGTATCTGCTTAACATGCAAAAGGTCCTGGGTTGAATTTCTAGTACCAAATTAAATACCAATTTTTTTTTTTTGTGGTATTGGGGTTTGAACTCGGGGCTTTGTACTTGTTAAGCAGTTGCTCTACCACTTGGAACACACCTCCAGCCCATTAAAATTTTATATAGCAATTCATAATATGGGGAAGATGAGCCATTTAACATGAGCAGGCTGTAGTGAGAGGTATGGTAAAGTGTAGGGTATGTGATCGTTTCTTTTTCCCTCAATGTCATGCCAAATGTCAAAAATGTTAGATATTCAAGGAATTGTATCATGCATGAAATAGTTCATTTTGTAAGAAGTAATTTGAAAATAAGTTTTTACCATGATGGGTGGATTAATTGGGAAAACAACCAAACATAAACTGACACAGTCTTTTAAATCACACAGTTGGCAGAACTGAGACAGAGATTGGACCATGCTGAGGCTGATCGGCAAGAGCTCCAAGATGAACTCAGACAGGAACGGGAAGCAAGACAGAAGTTAGAGATGATGATAAAGGAACTAAAGTTGCAAATATTGAAATCATCAAAGACTGCTAAAGAATAGAAACCGTTAGATTCATCTGTGTATTACTGACAGGATTTTTTGTTTGTGGCTTGCTTTGCTAATTGAATTCTGAACATGTTATGTGCATGAAAATAACTAGGCATTTTGTTCATTTGTAGTCAGAAAGAGTGAAGAGATTATATATTAGTACATAAATTTTTACATTTTCAAATGAATGAAAACATGTTTCTTTGTATTTTTTTTCAGTCAGCTTGGTAACAATACTGTATGGTTTCGACTAGTAAATAATTACCTATATTTCTAATGCAAACTTAAAAATCATATACTTTTTGAAAGCTTCATTATGTGATGGAAAGTAGCTGGGTCAATTTAGTTATTCATATTTCAAACGCAATTTTAGATTCAACGGTGGCATCATGATTCAGATACATAGTATGGAGTTACTCTGTTTTTCTCATCAACAGTCTCCTAAATTGAAACGGTACACTTACTATTACACATCAAATTTGCTTTTACTTTGTTCAGATTGTGCAGTGAATTTCCACCAGTTTTCTTTTTCATGCCTCCTAAGAGGAGTTTCACTGATGAAATTATGGCACACCCATGGACACAATAGGGAAGGCTAGCATGCTTTGTTATGATCCGCTGCTAAGCACAAGAAGCAGTCACAATTTGTCTTTCAGGTTAAGTGTGGTTAGATTTAGAAGGTTGAGGGTTTTTCTGTTTGTTTTTGTAATGACTTCAGAAAAACAAAATTCTGAATTTTTGTTAATAGTGGTATGAAAACATTAATGTTTTTGAGAAAAACTGATTCCATTGATGTATATTGATTTCTATACAATCCATAATCCTGTACAGTTTTTATATGTAGTCTTATATGGGTCTCACTGAAATTTATATAATGGATTTGTTTTCCTTTAAATTACAAAACATTAAACACCCTTGAAGGTTATTTGGGACTTTTGTATGTTTAAATGTTGTCTTACCAAAATTTGCACGAATGGACCATTTTTAATTACTCTTTAATATCAAAATCATGAATTTATAGACAGCTGGTAGTATCTGATAGGTTAATATAGAACAATTTAAATATTTGCTAGTAAAAGGTTTTTTAGATGATTTTTAGATGACAACAGAATTCCATGATTTGGAGAAGAGCAATATGTGCACTTTTTTTGTTTTCTTTTTTTGCACAGATTTTTAGCATCAAATTTCATATTGGTTAATTCTTGGCTTAAAAGTTATTAGGTAAGATTCTCAATATGCAGTTTTTTTAAAGGATGTTTCCTGAAATCACCACTGATATTATTATGCCGTCAATTTCATTGTTCATGTTCTTTCCTAAGGTACTATGTGAAATTACTTAAGCGAGTTGTAGTTAAAGTTATATCCTGTTTCTACCATACATCCTCTAATAGTATAGAACTTCAAAAATCACTAGGTTATCATTTAACCAGTTATTTTTATATTTTGCTTAATGGTACATATCCAAAAGGAACTTCCCAAAATGTAGCTTGTTTTCTTTTTTTTTAAATTTTTATTTTATTCATATGTGCATACAATGTTTGGATCATTTCTCCCCCCCCCCCGCCTTCTCACCCCCACTCCCTCCCTTCCCCCTCACCACCTGGCAGAAACTATTTTGCCCTTATCTCTAATTTTGTTGAAGAGACAGTATAAGCAATAATAGGAAGGAACAGGGGTTTTTGCTAGTTGAGATAAGGATAGCTATATAGGGAGTTGACTCGCATTGATTTCCTGTTCATGTGTGTTACCTTCGCTTGTTTTCTAAATATATTGTGATCTAAGTGTGTATTTTGCATTTAATTTTTGCTATATTAACCCTACAATTTAATTTGTTGATTCTTGGAAACTCCTCAAGGAGGAAAAAAAACGTTAGAATGACATCCTTCCAATTCCATTTATTTAGATTTGGGGAAAGAGAAACCACAGACATAAAATAGTTTTAGGTAAGCCTTCTACCACTTGAGCCATGCCTGAAATAGTTTCAGTTAGGCTGTGAATTGCTTGTATCATAGCTCAGCTCTTTGGGAGGCAAACTCAACTATAATATCATTTATTTTTCTAATTCACTCAAAAATCTTTCTGCTTATGTTTTTTAGCAAATATTAATCTTATTTAAGTTTCTCTCCAAACTTTAAAATAAATTACTTATTTTTGGGACTGTGTTATTTTAGAATTCTAAGTAGGTCTCGGTCACCATTAAATTATTCTAAACTCTTAAATTCTAGTCTTTCACATATTGAAAACTTGCCATGTAACATTGTATAATCTTCATTTTCCAGAAAATACATTGATGTTCCATAGGTTTCTGTGTTAACTTCCTTGAAAATAGTTTTTTTAGTCAGTTGTAAATATTATAACTATTATCATCAAAAGTAACTTTAAGTTAAATTGCACCACATAGCTTGAAAATAATAGAGATTTTGTAATACTTTAAAAATGACCTCTGCTAAAATATCTTACCCATATAAAACTTATTCTTCTATTCTTTGCATGCTCATTTTTTGTGCTGGTTGCTATCTTAAAGTTTGTTTTGGTGTTGTTTTTTGTGTGCCATGCTAAGTTCACTAAGCAAACAGATTTTTCCTCAGACTTCTTAATATTCTTTTTTTTAGGAAATAGAATGTTTACTCTAATAAGCTACATTAAGAAATGGCTTATAAAGAGTTTTGCTAAAGCATATCTGGAGAAAGACAGTTTTAGCTTACTGGATGATGAGTGTTTAATTTAGGTGGTGTTAGTTTCTGTAATCTAAACTTTATGAGAAAAATGTATCAAATTTATAAAGGTAGCAAATATAAAAGCTCCTGCTGTCATTGAGGAAATTTGTAAACACTTCCACAAATGCAACTTTCAACACTGAAAAGATTTGACCAACAACTTGGGTTTGGCTTATGCTTTAATTTTTGTAAAGTAATTTTTTTGCTTGAATTTCTGTGTCCTTAATATTAGGATGTTTATGCTTTTTGAACTGATTTTATAACATTTAATATATTATCAGTTTAAATATAAAATCATTTGTACAGGAGTGAGGAGAAGGAAGAAAAAAACATTTGTATAAACTGAATTATAAGCAGTTATTAAAGTAGATGAAATAGACCAGGTACTATGATATTTGCAGATTATCCATATCTTTTAGAAGTCATGACAGAACAACCTATTTATTTGCACATCTGTAGCTTCTGTTTGAAGACTAGCAAAATGACAAGGAAGTTCAAATAATGTAAAATGTGCTCAAAGTATTTCTCTCGGACTGATTGCAAAGCTGGTACTGAAGGTTTTTGAATAGCTTCTGAAATTTTCTTTCTTTTTTCTGAAAGATAAGACTTAAGTTTTGATTACTTAGAGAAGAATACTCATTTTTATTTGCCCTTCATGCTTTTAATCCACATAGGACATTAAAAATTAATATAATGAAAAGTTGTGCTCCTACTGTACATTTATTCCTGTGCTTATAACTACTTGTTAATAGTCTTTCCTGAAGCTGTCAGCAATAAGGGGCACATCACTGCTGTAGTATACATTGTGCAATGGAATATAAGCAGCTTAAATTTTTTTTCTAGTGTAGAATACTTAAGCATTTCCATTATTAAACAAAAAAGCATATGGGTATTTTATGTAACATTGTTTAAAAGGAGTCTTTTTGTTGTTGTTAAATCTTTCCACTTAAATGGCTTCTAAAGTACATAATGCAGTTTGGAGCCTGTCTAGAAATAGGATTAAGTGTCTTATGTAGTGCTACTGTTTTTGAATTAGAAAGTGATCAAATGTTAAAAAAAAAATTAAGCCCAGAAAACAAATTGTGTTTAAAGATAGTTTAATATAAAAGAAATTTATAAGATTTTTTTCTTCAATATAGATACCTCACTTGAAAAGAAAGCACAGCATCTTTTAAATAGTTCTTGTAAAAACTTCCTACTAAAACAATTGCTAAATCTAGGACATCTTTTGGGGAGTTAGAGTGTGAGAAATAAACTATATTTGCTTTTAACCATTCTGTTAGGAGTATTTGTTATCCTGATTATTTTCAGCCAACATAGTAGTTTTAAATTATTTCTGAGTTTCTAACCTGTGAAGGCAGCGAAGTGAATTATCTGTTCTGCAACTATTGGACAAGTTATTGACTATATTAACCATAATTAAACTTATAATTTTTCCAAGGATGTACAGTTTTTTGATTAAAATTGCTGTGGTTGGTTGCATTACATGACACATGAAACTATTGTCCTACCTCACGTGAAATATTTTATATGGTTTTACTAAAAAAAATAAGACTCATCTATCTGGTCACTTAGTTTACAAATTTTGGATTATATTTATTGAAACATGGCATACTGTGCTCTTAGCTTATACCTCAATTGTATTTTGTGCTGTTTTCCATTTTCATGCCTTGTAAATAACTTGTATAGATTGTGGAGGAAATTCCAAATAAAAAGTTTTAATGCTAATGACATTTGACTTTATTCTCTCATACATAGAAGGTAGATCCAAAAAATAAACATATACACAAAAACAAACATCATATACAAACTCATAAGTAGAGCGTGTTTGTAATAGTGGAACTACTCTATGGAACTTGGGGAAAGGGAAAGGAAAAGCGAATGATAGAGCGTCAACACTATTGTAAAACAACATCTGTGCAGGTAGAGGACATAACGATACTGTATTGAAAGCAGGGTGGGAGGGAAGGGGTAGGAGGGTAAAGGGGTTGAACGGACCAAAGTAAAGTATAATCACAGTGGGATACTTGAGAAACTCCTTAGAAATTAATAACAAAAGACAGGACTGTGAAATAGGTACAGTGTGTGTGGGGGTGGGGATAGTAATTGTGGGAGAGGGAAAGGTGAACAAAGATTAAGGTGAGGGAATATGGCTGATGGACTTCATATAATATGAAATAGAAACATCTTGCAGTAGTTTTAAGTGTGGCAGGGAGGCGGTCGAGGGCGAGTGACAGTGGGAGTGATCTAACCAATGTACAATATAAGACTATTTGGGATTGTCACAATGAATCCCCCCTATACAAGGACTATATCCTAATAAAAATGAGAAAAATAATTAGCATGACAGAAAATAAAATTGACTCAAGTCATCTCAGTATCCTGTATTAACTTTGTTGTCCCTAAGATTGACTTTTTCTCTGTTCCTTTAGTCTATGATTCATTACACACTGATTAATGTGAGAAGTCTATTTTATTAAAAGTAAACATTTTCAGGTAAAACTCCAGGTGATGAAAATACCAGCATTTTATGATAATTGTCTTTCGTGACACTTGGATTCTTTACTATCTTCCCCTACCCAAGGTGTAAGTTATCTATTGCTTCATAACACATCTCCCCCAAGTTTAGCAGCTGAAAGCAATAAATATCTCAGTATCTGAAGGTTAGAAATCCAGGAGTAGGTCAGCTGGGTGTTTTGGCTTAGGAGCTCTTACCAAGGTACAGTTAGGATGTTACCTGAGGTTAAAGTTACCTGAACTTGACTGAGAGGATCTGCTTTCAAATTCACTCACATGGCTGTTGACAGGTGCTCAGTTCCTCACTGTGTGGATATGTCCATTGAATTCACTGAGTTTACTTAAAACAATTATTTTGAATTCTTTTGTCAGGCAGTTTTTATATTTCCAGTTTTGGGGTACCAACTACTGGGAGGATGCTGTGGTTTTCGATTTCTGGTGGTGGTATATCTGGATTTTCATGTTTTTTCAGTGCTTTAAGTTTATATCTGTGCATTTGTTGGTTCAGTCACCTTTTCAGATTTTATAGGATAGTTTAGCTGGGTAGCACGCAGCAGTTATGGCATTAGTGAAGATGCCACTTGAAGTTTCTGTAAATATCTTTTGCCTGAGATTGGTGGTGAAGTTGTCAGGGATTTTCAGCAGCTCACACTGGATATATGCAGTGGTTGTTGGGTCTTCAGTGGCAATGGCTGCTTAGATCCTCCAGATCTTTTTCTCCCATTGGAGAAGTTA